GGGAACTCTTGGTGAACTGCTGTGGTGGGTGAAAGCAGAACACACTTTGCATGACTTCAATTCTTTTAAATTTGTTGAGGTTTGTTTTATGGCCCGGCATATGGTCTATCTTGGATATGTTTAAAAGGAATATGTATTCTGCTTTTATTAGGTGGAGTGTTCTGTAAAAGTCAATTAGATCCTATTGGTTGATGCTGTTGTTGAGTTCTTCTATGTCGTCAGTGATTTTCTGGTTATCTGCCTAGCTGCTCTATCAGTTGTTGAGAAAAGAATGGGAAGTTTCTAACTATAATTGTGGATCTGTCTGTTTCTTCTTCCAGTTCCCCACTCAGCATCTGTTGACACCCAAGTAGGAGAAGGGAGAGGATCCTCATTATTGCTGGGTGGGAGCAGGAGTTCCAGCTCCCCACTAGTCCCATTCTGACACCATGCGGGTTCGCCTTGCTGCAGCTGAGTGGTGGTGAAAGTACTGACTCTTCATCAGTCTTCCTGTGACACTGTCCCAGCTGGGGGGAGGGGGGATGGGCTTCCTTACTGCCAAATTGGAGGGTGCAGTGGTGATGTTCTGGCTCTTCATAATATCCATTGGGAAGCCTTATCACTATTCATTAAGGATGAAAGTCCAATTCCCTCCTGGCCTTCTCTGACCTCTGACACCATCCTGGCAGGTAGTGACAGACTGGAAAGAGTGGAAGACTAGGCTTCCACTCAGTTTTTTTCTATTGTGAGTAAGAATGAGGTCACAGTGTTTTTTCTATGTGTGGCTGGAGTAACACATTTGTCTAAAAGTTTTCTATTTTGTTAGGCTTCCCTCTTTTCTGGTCCTTTGGATAGGAAGAATAGGTTATTTCTGGGAATTTGTTGTTGCTGTTGTTTGGGCCAGCTGGCACTTTATCCCCATAGTTTCTTTTATCTATCACATTCTTCTCAAGCTCACGAGCAACATTCACCAAGATAGAACACATTCCGAGCCCTAAGACACACCTTACCAAATTTAAAAGAACAGAAACAAACAATGTTTGCTCTTAGACCATAATAAGATTATACAATGACAGAAAGACATTTGGGAAATCCCCAAACACACTTACACATACATGGTTCAAAGAAGAAATCTCAAGACAAATTAAAATATTTTTAACTAAATGAAAATAAAAATACAGCTTATCAAAATTTATGGGATGCAGTGAAAACAGGACTTAAAGAAAAATTTAAAGATGAATGCATACATTAGAAAAGAAGAAAGATCTAAAATCAAAAATCTAAACTTTCACTTTAGAAAAACTAGTAACAGGAGAGCAAATTAAATCCAAAGTAAGCAGAAGAGAAGAAATAATATAAATTAGGGCAAAAATCAAAGAAATTGAAAACAGAAATTATTGATTCTCTCAATAGAGAAAAATGTAAAAGAAACAAAATCTGGGTCTTGGAAAAAAAATCAATAAAATTGATAAAGTTTCTAGTAGAATTAAGTAAACAAAAAGAGAGAATAACAAAGTTGGAAGACTAACATACCAGGAACTCAAGATTTACTATAAAGTTACAGTAATCAAAAGAGTGTGGTATTGAGAAAAGAGTAGACACATAGATCAATGGAACAGAATTGACAGCCCAGAAATAGGATCACATGAATATAGTCAACTGATCTTTGACAGTTCTTTGACAGAAGAAATCAGTTTAATGGAGAAAAGATAGACTTTTCAAAAAATGGTGCTGAAACAACTGGAATTTCACATGCAAAAAAAAAAAAATGAAACTAGACATAGACCTTACATCCTTCAACTCAAAATGAATCATAGGCCTAAATATAAAGTACAAAACTATAAAACTCCTAGAAAATAACATAGCAAAAAATCTAGAGGACCTTGGATATGGTGATGACTTTTTAGATATATCACCAAAGACATGACCCATGAAAGAAATAATTGATAAGTGGGACTCATTAAAATTAAAAAAACCTTTTTTGTGAAAGATTCTGTCAAGAAACTAAGAAGAAAATCCACAGACTGGGAAACATAATTTTCAAAAGTCACATTTGATAAAAGACTATTATCAAAATATACAAAGAATTCTTAAAACTTAACAATAAGAAAACAAACAACCTGGTTAAAAAATGGACCAAAGACCTTAACAGACAACTCCCCAAAGAAGATATGCTGATGACACATGAAAAGATGCTCGACTTTGTACATCATTAAGGAATTGCAAGTTAAAGCAACATGGAGATATCATTAGTATAATGGCCAAAATCTAAAACACTAACACCACAAAATGCTGGTGAGGATATAGAGCCACAGGAATCCCCAATACCTGCTGATGGGAACACAAAATGGTATGGCCACTTTGAAGAACAGTTTAGCAGTTTTTAAAAAAAGTAACCATACTCTTACCATACAATTCATCAATCATACTCCTTGATATTTACCCAAATGAGTTGAACACATGTCCACACAAAAACTTGCATGCAAATGTTGATAGCAGTTTTATTCATAATTGCCCAAACTTGGAAGAAACTAAGATGTCCTTGGGTGTATGGATAAATAAACTGTGGTACTGCCAGATAATGAAATATTATTCTGTGCTAAACGAAATGAACTATCAAGCCATCAAAAGACATGGAGGGACCATAAATTCATATTACTAAGTGAAAGAAGCCAATCTGAAAAGGCTACCTATTGTATAATTCCAACTATCTGACATGACAGAAAAGGCAAAACTACAGAGATAGTTTTTTACTGTCTCTTTATCTTTTTTAGATTAGTGGTTGCTAAGGGTTAAAAGGAGATGGAAGAATAAATAGGTAGAAGATAGAGGATTTTTAGGGCATAAATTATTTTGTATGATACTATAATGGCAGATACATTGCCAAAGCACATGATTGTACAACATTGAGAGTGAAACCTCATGTAAACTATGGAATTGTGTAATAAGGATGTGTCATTGTAGGTTCATCCATTATAACACATAAACCACTCTGGTATGGGGATTGGATAGTGAAGGAGGCTTGTAGATTATGTGGGGCAAGGAGTGAAATCTCTGTACCTTATGCTCAATTTTGTGTGAACCTATAACTGCTCTGAAAAATAAAGTCTACTTTTAAAATATTAATAATACTTCCTAGAAAAATAATCAGAATCAAACACCAGTGTGGTAGGTTTACTTTTGTAACATGAATTACAATTATAAAAGTAGCAAATTTCAGAATGTAAATTTACATTAAAAATTACAAAGTCATCACATGTGCACCAAAATTACCAGGATTTAAAAAAAAAAACCAGTGACTGCTGACATTATCTTTTTCACTAGTTTGATATTATCCAATTGTTACATTTAACATTGGCACCATTAAGAAGTCCAATGCCTGAAAAATAGCAGTCATGCAATAAAATGTTGAACAAAAAGAATGCATGAATGAATGAATGTCCAACTATCAGCAAAATGGTCCAATAAGGCAAAGTTTCTTAAAAGAGTGTTTTTTTCTTTGTTAATATGAAGTTTTTACTTGGAAAAGCTTTCCTTTCTTCCTTATATATGAGCAGCATTTAGGACCTGGAGAGGCCCACAAAACTAATTACAGAATTACATGTATTTGAGTAGGTGTCCCCTAGCTACAATAGGCTATTATTGTGGATGGTAGGGAATATTTGTTACTCATTTTATATCTAGCATAGAGCCTCAAAGGCATACCTTTTCAATAATAAGTGCTTAGTAAATATTTGCTGAATGAATATTAAAAACTGATCCTTTTAGTTTCCTGGGTAACTATGGCAGAAGATCTTAGTTTAAAATTGAAATTTATACTTTATTCTAAATCTAAACAAGAGTTTATGTACTAACTTGTGTCCCCTCCTCAAGATTCATGTTGAAGGTCCAACTCTCAGTATCACACATGTATTTTTAACCTCTTTAAAAAGATGACTAAGTGAGACCATTAAGGTGTAGCCCTAATCCAATATGGATGATGTCCTTATAAGAAGAGGGAGAGACATTAGGGGCACAGAGAAAAGGCCATGTGAGGACACAGTGAGGAGGTGGACATTCTCAAGCCAATGAGAGAGGCCTTGGAAGAAACCAAACCTGCCAACACCTTGATCTTGAACTTCTAGTCTCCTGCACTGTGGGAAAATAAATTTCTTTAATTTAAGCCACCCATTCTGTGGTATATTGTTATGACAGCCCTGGCAGATACAAATCATTTTGTCAAATGAATAACAAAGAAATCTCATATTTTAAATCTGTGAATGTTTTATTTTAGCAGATACATTGATACTTCTTCAAATGTCTTGGCAAACTGGCAAATATGTGTCCCTCAAATTTAAAATCACTATTCCATTAAAACCAACGTATTCCCCACCCACCCCTTTTCTTTTACCACTAAAGTTAAGTCTAAGAGTGTATATTCATTCTATTTCTTTTCCTCCAAAACCACCATCTTTATCTTACGATCTGCTTTGTCTAACGTGTGCTAACTTGGCACCCTTTATCACAACTGACTGAAAGCTGAGGACCTCAGAGAGTGCAAGTCCATGGTTCCTCACACTATGTCATTTGATATCCAGTTCAGTGTGTCCCCTGCAGGGCCTGGAATTGGCTTTATGCAGCAACTTTCCTTCCAAACATGTTTTTCACCCTCCTCCCTGAACCTTTCTTAGATGACACCCTGCCAGGTTGGAACTAAGGAGGAAACAAACACTGGTGACATTTTATCAGCGGGCACTGATTCAGGTATAACCACAACCCAAATTTCAGGGAGTCTACTTTTGTAACACTCCTACCGGAGGTACGGTGATAATAAAGCCAGACGCAGACATTTCCTTCAACTCTTGCCAGACGACGTGGCTCCTTGAAATAGATTACAACGTAGTCTGCACAAAGTAAGAGGCATGTTGGAGCCTCCCTCCCCGGAGGGAAAACAGTTTCCAGTCTGAGACTGACCCCATAAGTGGAGTCAAAATCCAATTGTGACATCAGCCTTTAAGCATGCCATCTAGCATGGAGGCAGCCTAGAGAGTGGCAGTTGGAGCAAAAATCCCTGGCTTCAAGTATTATTTAATATTTTTTCAGAAGGCATGAGAGGGTTTCAAAAGGTAACAGGATACAATTTTGAAAGGATTTTTAACTGTATCATTTAGTTTTTCTTTTTCAGGTAACAGCTTTATGGAGATAATAAGCCTTGAATTCTGTGAGTTTTCAGATGACATGCAAGAAACTTTTTAAAACCATAATTACAGTATGTTTGTTGTATTATTCACATCTATCTGATAAAAATATGCAAATTTAGTCACAAAATTGAGAAAAGATTTACATGCAGTTTCCAAAGACTTTCCATTTCAACTTTTGTTCTTTCTTGCAATCCTATTTATTACCAGTCAGAGTTGTATCTGGCCTGGCAGCAGATTCTGGGGGGATACAAAGGAATAGAAATCACAGTTGAAGATTTTACTTCGTGCCCACAATGTGCTAGGAACTGTAGGGAATACAGCACGTATCACAATTAAAAGCCCCTGTTAAGTAGAATTTTCTGTTCAACAAATCAAAATAATTTTTCTTACTTACTGTCCCTGGATCTGTGGCAGCTCCATGAAGTCTGTGGGTTCCTTGAGTTGGAGGATATCTGTATGTGAGAGGAACAGCAATGGGCAAGGGCTTTCAGGAATGTTCTCTGTGATTTGAACAGCGGCCTGAGACTCACGGGCCATGGATGTCGAGGGAAGTCTTTAGTGTTGTGAAGAAAGTTCTATGGATTTCTTCCTGACTTAAATTTTGTTACTTTAAGTAGCATTTTAAGCATTGCAATGACAGAGTGAAATTGAGGTTCTTGGTAGGAAACTGGTGGCTGTGGTAAAGTGATGCTTGAGGACTATTTATGGAGGGCATAAACGGGAACCCCTGTGTCCCTGGAAACTGACTCTTCTGTATGACTTCCATGAGAAAATGCTGAATCTTTCACCTAGCCTACCCTACATCATCTCCCACTTCCAGGCCGGAAATCTGTTGGTTCAGTCTAGAATCTAGGAGTTCAGGGGTATATGGTAACCAGAAGGAAGTGTTAGTGACTAAATGGAGTTGTTCAAGAGTTGCAGGTCATTGATGCAGATGAGGTGGCTCAGGGTCAGCCTACCAGCTGATTCCCTAATGGCCAAGAGATGTGAGGAACTGATGCAATGTTTCAAATAAATCAGAGCTAGTTCAGCAATAGCTAGCTTAGTTTTCTGTCTCGTTTTAACCACAGAGTCTAGGCATTCAGACATCTAATAGTTAAGAAAAGGAAAACCTGACATAGTCCTTACTCTTACGCAGGGTACTATCTGAAGGCAGGGGCGTGACAATAAAAATAAATGATTATGTTGTAAAAATAGTTGGGCAAATGTACAAATAAGAAAGGCCGACATATATGGATTACAATTGATATATTATTAATCATATTTTCTCTTAAGGAGTAAGAAGTTCCCAGGATGCCTGTCTCCCCACATGGACTCAATTAACTTGGTTGATATTCAGAAGTTTTGGGCTTTTTCAGGGGTGGGAGGGGCAGTTTTGGTGCCATGCAACATTCAGTATTTTGATTCCAGGGTAGAACAGGGATAATGATCCATATTCCGTTGTGTACTTTTTATGTAATGCAAACTTACCAAATGTGAACATTTTAATTGGACTATTCTAAGCAGTACCATTGTTATAGGCCTTCTTGTCAAGAAGAATCTTACATTAAAACATTTCTCCCAAGCTACCAGAAAACCCAGAATCATTAAAAATTTAGGAATTGCTAAAATACAAAGGACCAGTATCTCCTTGCATTGTTTGTGTTTTGCATTTCACTCCACTTGAGTAATGAAACTAAATTGGTTGGTTTCTTTTATACTTTGCCTGTTTCTAATCAGTCTCACTTTTGATTTTCCATGAGTTCACCAAATGATGTTGTTTTTGGGGGGTTACATCGTCCTAGCATTATCCATATTCTCAACAAGCCTCATGGTGATTGAAGAAACATTTCAGTGCATATGGGGGTTTGTGAAGGCTTGAATACTCTGCTAGAGGAAACGTACATTTGGGGTTAAAAACACTTTAACAGGGAAATGATGAGAATTTTGTGGGGCTTGGGTTTATTCTGAAATAAGAAAAGTCAAGTTTTATAGACCTTCAATATTTTCTCCGTTGCTTAATAAATTTCACAATTATGCTGAATTTTGTTGAAGCACTATAATGTGAATGGATATATTATAGTCTTTAATTTTTATCTGTTGGTGTCTGTTATAAATCCTGGTAGCACAGGCATTGTATATATTTAATAAACACAGCTTGGATGCAACATATCCTTCTAATGAGTGTAAGGCAAGCTCTGTAGGCTGTTAAGTCTGTGCCAGCTTGGTTAAACCAACAGATGACTTTAGCAGGAACAAAGTGTTTTTGGTTATCAGATAATTCTTTTGTGCTATTAACTGGTAATATGAATAAACAATTCAGATGCACCTTGCTATATGTTCTGTTAAAGGACTCACTTTAAATCAAATCTTTTAAGGCAAATAATCATTGAGTAGAAAATAGCTGAATATCATCGTTTATGCCAAGTCTTTCTAATTATTTAGTATTTACGAGCAGCAGGATAGGATTGCTGCCTTTGGATAGGGGACAGAAGTGGAGATTAAGCTGCATTATCAGGGGTTTATATTCAGCTGCAGGATTACCTGGCTCCCTTGCCTCTTCTCTGTTTTGGGTGTGCTGCCTTGTGGCCATTCTGCTGTTCATTAGCACGTTTACCCGAGGTGTGCAGGACGAGATATCCTAGTTAGCCCACTTTACTCCTTGTCAGCAACTCCGGTGAAAGAAGGAGCAGGGGACAACATTGAAACTAATGGCTAAAATGAGGTTTGAGGATTACCTGTGGTTTTCATTCGTCCTCTTCACTTGTTAACAAGCTGAATCCAGAGCAGAATGCAGTATTTTTTCTTTATTCACCTGAATGCACCATGTATTTAGTCCCTGATAAAAATTCTGGTTTGTTATTTAAGCCCTTCCAATAAGTAGGATAGAAAAAAAACCTGAATATACTAAAGAACTATAACTTAGTTTTGTGGGGCTTGGGTTTATAAACTGATGATATGACTGTCTGGTTGTACACAGATAAGGGGGAGATTTTTTTATATACACACCGCCTTATAACCAATTCCTTGCAAAGTCTGCCATTTCCTGTGTCATTTTCTCAGTTATTTTTTTGTGAACACAAACGGTTATTTGTGGGAGACACATTAGCCTGAAACTACCTGAAGTGATTGTTCCAAAAGGGAACAAAGAAATTTAGCACAGATTTAGTTATAATTTCATGAAACATGATCTTAAAATTGCAAGTGTTTGATGTTATTAAATAAACATAGCACTTCGGTTGTAGAAATTAAGAGTATACATCTATAGAAAAAAGTAATCAGCTTTAACATTATGTGAATAGGTGCTTTGGATAAAGCATCGAGTGTCAGCATTATATGTGGATTGAAATGGGGTGGTTTCCCAAATGATTCAGACAGATGTACAGGAAGACAGCACATTGGAAAACTGTGTCAGGTGACTCTATCGCCCTGGTGATAATCAATATGCTGATGTTAAAGACACATTGAAAGTTTGAATGAAATTATTTTGTAAAATATGTAAGTGGATAAAGTCATATATTTAAGTAATATATTTAATGTAGATAATTTTAACATGAAAATATAACTAAATTAATCAATGAAATACTGTAAGTTGATACTTATCAATTTTTTTACAAAAATGATTTGGGATTTCATTAGAAATATCAAGGATGATTTTATATTCAGGGTTGATTACTTACATCATAGCATATATTAGTTTTGTAAAACCTAGTTAAATATAAAAATTATAACCACTTTTAATTGTAGAGGGAAAGGTGGGATTAATCAATTACAGAAGGAAAATAACATTTGAAGAGAGTTTTATAAATTCAACACAAATATAACCTTAATCATACATATAGTCTTAATCATACATTCCTCCAAAATAGTATCAACTAGATTGTCCAACTCAGTCTTTGAGATATATATATCTATACGTTCCTTTGCAGCTGTCCTTTGGGTGAATCAAGATCATTGCTAATTTACATGTGTTAAATTTGTGAAGTGACTAGATTGTCTATTTTGTAGCACGTAGTTGAACTTGCTGTTAATTATTTTTATTTAGTTAGTTTTTTGAAATTTAGATTTAGGCAATCAAGCATTACATGAGGGTAAGGGTAATACAGTTTTCTACATTAATATAACAGCTTGCATTATTTTCATGACAATTTGTAAGCTTTTGTTATTGAAAACACAATTTAGTTTTATTTGCTTAGTACATCAAAAAAGATACCCCGAATCACAGAAATTAAACTTTACAATTCATCAGGTCCAGCAAATAAGTAGAATCTAATTCATTACTCTCCTTGTTTCCTTTAATTTCATATAAATACTAGAATGCTCTGAGCTTCCATCTTCTTTCTGGAATTAAGCTGTGCAGTCTGTAAGAAAATATCCTCTTTTTTATATAGGTGACCTCAATCTTAGCCCACAATGAAAGAGCTTCTAGAGCTTTCCCTGACCAATCTATGAGAACTGCAAACCAGAGAAACTATGTTGTACCAGGTTCTAGAATCTATTGTTTAGGCTTCCCCAGAATCCCTCAATCAGACACCAAAACATAACTCAGAAAACTGAAAAATACCAGGTACCATCTTTCCTGGGAAAGCCGGGAATCTGTTCTCTTCCTTAATGTGACATTTTAACATATTTGAATAGTGTCAAATTGCTGTTTTTGCATCTTGGGGAGTAGCGTGAAAATTGGCATTGAAATACCTAAGCGGAGCCTGAGGGTGCCCTAGAAGCTGGAGTGTTATGGATTAAGCTTGGGTAACATGAATTTACATTTTATGTATTTTCAGGCAAACTCTTGGGAAAGGACCAGTTTTAAGACACCTTAGAGGGTGTTCAGTATAAACAGTGAAAGTTAGCAACTTAGTCCATCTCACAAGTCATAAACATGGCCTTAATTAATGTGTGTTATAAATAACAAAAATGTATTTTATTTTTGTTTGGGTTGTGAAGCA